TATCACAGGGAATGTTGCCATAAATTTAACTATGCCTGAGCATTGGCCCGAGCATTGCTCAAAAGAAAATTGGAGAACGAAAATGAAACCACGAAAAGCAACAAACGACCTTCGAGAGCATGTTCTGCGACAGGTGCTGCATGCTCAAAAGGGATATTTCCCAAACAATGCATGATATGTTCGAAAGAAAGAATAAAAGATGGTGGAAAATTTCAATTTCCAACAAAGAATCTCACTAAATCGGCTGAAGAGACACTGAAAAATGCTGCTCATTTAAGAAACGATCAACCATGATTACTGCAGTCACAGGTATTTACTTGATAGCAAAGGAGTTTAGTAAACATCAAACATGCTATATCAACTACACACGAATTTCGAGAGAAACAAAAACAAAAAATTCAGCTTCTTCTTCTGAAAGAGATACTACCGGTGACTTTCAATCGGTTTGCAACGTGATTGAAAAGCTTGTGCTATGGCAACAAAAATGTGTTTCAATGGAAACCATAGTTTCTGTTTGCGGAATAAATGAGGGCGATAAGCAGCAGAGGTACATGTTAAAGCAGCGATTTCGTTCGAGCGACATTCTCCACAACTCGTAATAAGCAAGGATTGTTTGGAGAAACAAAATTTAACAAATATTTTAGAGACGCCCCGATGCAATACAGTCAAGGGAGCTGCAGCTATTTTTCGCGAGGATGTAACAAATGTAACCAATGAAGCAACAGCATTGCCATGGCCCCCAACAATAGAGAGTTTAAAGTCAGATGCATGGAATCCCCCAGCAACTCTAGCATTGTTTTACAATCATTTGTTATATGCAGCTAATAGTCATCACGTTGCAAGTTCAACAAACGACCGTTACGTAGCTTCTTTTAGTCAAGATGTGATGCACGCAGTCTCGCATGGAGATTTCGTGACACTCAAGCATGCAACGTTGGGACTTGGACTAAACAGCCTCACTGGACAGAAATTACCACCGGTAGTTCTGTCAAGACTTGGCCATTATATCAATTACGATCGAAAAAAGACTAAAAATCGAAACCGCCCAAGCTGAACTAGCCCTGCATTTCCAGTCTATGTCCCTTTATTCCGCCTATAATGCCTGTAGATGCATAAAGCAAAGTAAAAACAATTTTCTGGTGGGACAATTTTGACAGAAATGTCGAAACTGCGAGTGGAGCAGGGTCGATCCACAGTACACCTGGTATAGTGTTCCAAGAAGAATCCGAATCCACAGTCACCCGTGATATCACTGTCAGTATACCGAGGTCTAAGCGACGATCACTTCAAAATCAAGAAGAAGAATGTTTTCCTTTTTCTACGATCAACCCGAAGGAGAGTCTCCATCGTTTGCTGAAAATAACGCCGTTCATGTTGAGCAAGAAACTGAAGAAAAGTGTAACAATTTATTAGTACTTTGGAAGTCAGCGCGTTATTTGTGTTCAGCTGATCAGTTGAATCCACGCTTTGTTGGATGAGTGATTTTGCTGTTTAAGACGATTGATAACAAAGAAACAAAGATGACTCCAATCCAAAAGCCAATAACTGATTATGCAGCATTTTTTCCGATGTTCTACAAATCAAGAGAACTTGCAAAACAAGCGAACATGGCGTACACGCATATAACACTTGATGTAGGGGCAGCTATTAAGGCTTACCATGTAATTTGGAACAATTCCCAGGCATGGTCTGATATAATTATCCATTTGGGAGATTTCCATGCCATGATAGCATTTTTTGACGTTAGTGGCTGTCTTGTTAGTGGGAGCGGTTTTAAAGATATCCTCTTCCAATCGGGTCTGTGCAGTTCTGAAAGTATCGCGGGTTTGCTGTCCGGCAAACATTATAATCGTAACTGGCTATTACATGAAGCGTTCTCAGAAGCGTTGGAACGTCTTTTTGAAGAGCAGTATATACCAGAAGTTCCGAAAATGTTGGTAAAATTCGCTGAAAGTCCACCAGGTACAGTTGATGTAGAGGATTTGCTGTTTAATGCAACCGTTAAAGCTTACTTAGAACATTACAATCAGTAATTTGACGAATGCTTGAACGGGGAATTTGGTAAGACGCCGCCGTTTTGGGCACTGTACAGGATGATGGTTTACCGCCAACAAAAGCCCCATTATGCTATTAACAAGAATGATTACAATGTTCACTTACTAATGTGGCGAAAATTGTTCTCTTTGTGTTTCGCAACAAATCGGGTTCATTATTCTCGGTATGGAACTTTCTATGTGCAATCTTTGGACTATTTGGAAAGTACCCACCATGGAGCAAAGGCCGAGATCGAAGAGAACGGTGTATCTGTCAGGCGAAACACTCTTGGAATAGGTCAGGCTGTTGATATGGCTGGTGAATAGAGCTATATGAAAGGTGGAATTAGTCAGCTTGCTGCTAAAGAAAGTAGGCTAACCGTTGTCAAGTGGGTCATGAACAGACCTTTTCAAGCACGATTCGCAGCGAGTTTGATTGAAATTAGTGGTCTCTCAACGACATCAATTTTATTGACCGCATGCGTTTTATTGTATTTGTTATCAAGAGTCCTTATAGTCTAGGAACATGAGAATGTATCAATGAGACAATATTTTTCTAGATTATACAGTATATACCAAAAAAGTGAACATTTTGAAATTAAAAATTAGCGACGTTTTCAATCAACCTATTACGCTCTTCATACAATTGATCGCTTCTAAGTCAGATGAGAAATTAAGAATGACTTCTAACGCATAAGGTCATATGATAAACTATTTCAATTTTAAAGAGTTCACTTTTTATGGGACGCCTTGTGTATATTATGTATATTTATATTTGTTATCATTATGTATATTACAATTATATCATGTATATTTCAAAATTTCACGAAATCGAGGTTTCAGTTCGCAATTGTAGGCAAACGCCCCCCTGGACGCCCGTATAACATGCATTTTTGAAATCAGCGCCCCCAACTTGACTAAAAAAAGTTGGTCTCACAAATTTCCTCGCTGTATGACCTTCGCCCCTTCTCCTCCTGGTCTATAATGAACTATCTTGTAAACAACAACTTATTGTATGAACTACAATTTGCATTTCGAGAAGGTCATTCTACAGAATCAGCGTTGATAAAACTTACTCATCAAATATTGTCAAACATGGATCAAGATAATGTCACTGGCGTCTTGTTTATAGACTTTAAAAAGGCGTTTGACATTGTGGACCATCAAATTATGCTGAAGAAACTTAAATTATACAGAGTTAGTGAGTCTACCCTTCAATGGTTTTAATCGTACCTTACCAACCGATCGCAATTCGTTACAATTGACGGTAAACAATCTCGACCACAATTTGTAACACATGGCGTACCTCAGGGATCTATATTGGGTCCTATATTGTTCCTTCTGTTTGTCAACGACATTCTCCTTCATGTTTCAAATTCGAACTTAGATATATTTGCAGATGATACAACGTTATCAGCTAGTACACAGTGGTCAAATATCCCTTCCATGGTTCAAGACATGAAAAAAGATCTCGATAGTATATGTAATTGGTCCATTAACAACAAAATGGTTATCAATACGAAAAAGACCAAATCTATGCTTGTTAACTTGTTTAAGGAAGAAAATACCAGATGAACATCTTCAAATGGATTTTGCTTTAGGAAGTACGACAGTATCCCAAGTAGAAAGTCAAAAACTCCTTGGTGTTATAGTAGATCAAGATTTAGCATACGAAGATCATAGTGACAGTCTATGTAAACAGATTTCAAAACGACTCGGTCTGCTGAAACACATCAGTCCATATTTAAATAAACAAGAAAGAGAAATTTATTACAATGGGATCATTAAACCGAAGCTTATGTATGGAAGTGCTGTATGGTCATGTTGCAGTAAAGAGAATCTTGACAGAATACTGAAACTACAAAAGAGGGCGGCAAGGATTATTTTAAGCGAGGAAAAGACAACGCCTTCGAAAACTCTCTTCAATTGATTAAATTGGATTCCTTTCACTGATGAACTATTTATTAGAAGAAGTATTATAGTATATAAACGTGTAAAAGTCTCATACAACTGTCCCGCATATATTAATTCTATGCTGGCGAGAAATTCTGACATTCACAATCGAGAAACGCGTTTTTCTAAGATTAACATGATATGTCCCCGATACAACCGAATAACGGAAGGTGGAAAACATTCGCAGTGAGGACTATCAAAGACTGGAATACCATTAATGTAAGAATCAGGAATTCTGTACGCCTATATATAGTTTTAAACATAGACTATGGAAGGACTTTTTAGATGCTCAAAAATTTTCTCAATTCTAAAACACTTAAAACAATTAACTTTAAATATTTTAGCTATTATAATATTTTTCACTTCATGTATATATTTTAATATTTTAATATCCTTAGACTTAGAAATACTGTAAGAATGTTACCAGAGGACCACGGAGTCATCAGTATTCGTACTGTCAAGTGTCATCCTCGTTAAATAATGTCTCTTATCTTACGGTTTGGAACATACCGTAACCACACCCCCCACTCCTTATCAGGACATCATGTCGACAGCGCCCTCCCCCCGCCCTTGTTAAAATTCCTGGACAACACCCATGCATGCTTGCAAGAAAGGTTTGACGTTCAGCTGATAAGTGCATGAACTCATACTGTTAAAAATCTATGCGAGTGCGAGGTTCGCAACAAACAATATTCAGGATCATACAATTTATTGTCACATAAAATAACACAACATGGTGTCAAACGTTAAAAATCAAAGACAATGGCATGAAGTTTCTAAGGGTAAGGATTTTTTCATTTATAAATAAAAATTATAACTATTTATTATTATTTACTATTTTTAATTAGTGTCAGTTTAGATTTTTGATTGTGTTTAAACCTTTTTTAAATATCTTTTTGTTAATAACTTAATATTTTATAATAATATAAGTGTTTTTTAAACTTTAAAGCTGCCAAATTAATTCATGGTTTATCCCATTCTTGGTGAATTTTTAAGGTAAAAGCAGAAATTTAAATCCGGCCGGAAATTCTCCAAATCCGGCCGGATGCCGGAAAATTCGTTAAATCCGGCCGGTGTCCCAGGATTTTCGCCCCCCCTACATTTTCGCCCCCCCGGGGGGCGAAATTCCTAGGAATATCGCCCCCCCAGGGGGGCGAAAATCCTAGGAATTTCGCCCCCCTTTAGGAAATTCGCCCCCCTTTAGAAACTTCACCTTTTCTTTAGGATTTTCGTCCTCCGTTCAAAATTTCGCCCTTCCTAACAGTTGCATGGGATAATTATTACATGACTTTAATCATTTGAAATCAGTATCAATTCAAAATTGTTAAGACAGAGCTTGAAATAACAACCGATCACGTGCACCGATTAATGATCGGCAAGGAATTGCTTATGATCGGCAGAAAAGCAGGGTTTCGGTTTCCAACCTGAAAAAATCAGGGAAAGTCACGACTGCCGATCACCATGATCGGGAACTTTGGGAACGTTATTTCAAGCCCTGCATGTAAGAATACAAATTTACAATTACATGTATCGAAAGGGCTTTACACAGTTACAGTAGATCAATACTCAATCGGACTTATGACGCTTCACAGCACACCATGCATATTTGCATTTTCAGTGTTAATCCTTAAACTCATTGTTAAAAAGTAATCACCGTGGTGGTTATTGTAATTATTGGTATTGTTTTGCATCCACGTTTTGTCGTTATCGGAAAATGTATGGTTTATAAGTTGTCACTATTTTTTACTTGCATTATTTCAATATAGTTTGTAAATCTCAGAAGCGAAGGGTAGAACTTGCCAATAGGCAATAATCCAATAATATACGTTTCAAAAAAGACAAGAAAGCTTTTAGTTTTGCGGAGTTACATTCTCATAAAATAAATAAACCACACCACATATATAATGCAATTTTCTTTGCGGAAATGAAGAATCAAGATTACATCACTGACACGGAAAGTTGACGATTCAACGGACAATAGTCAATACGCTTCCCAACGCATTCCATAGATTTTTTACTAATCCTATAGTTTATTGTTAGCAAGTGATTACTGTGGCGGCTATTGTTAACACTGGTATTGATAAAATTTGCAAGCGATTGTTTTTATAATATGTTATGTGAATGTAAACTGCCAGAAGAATACGACAACATGATTTTATGCGATCTCTGTGATGGTTCCACTTTAGATGTGTAGAATATGACACTAGTCTAAGTACCTCAAATGAGTGGTTATGCAGACTGTGCACACCACCAGTTGCTAAGAAGCCTAAAAGGTGTATATAATTTTGTCTCCTTGTAATAAATAAATAAATCGCACAATAAATCTTTTCAACTTGCAATCGTTTTGTTTTTAGATCAAAAATTCAAATTTTATATGGGGGGGCGAAATTCCTAAAGGGGGGCGATATTCCT